AATCACTATCAACAAATCATCATCATTAGAGTTCTGTCACATAAGCATCCCTATTCTGGCAAACTTTCAAGTAAACTAACACAGAACTTTTACACTCACTGACAAATAAACTGGGCTGGGGACTCACTTGATTCCCATTAGCTCAGAATGGCAGCACAGTAGCTCTTCCAACATCTCTGTCCCTACTGTGTCTCCTGATAAGTATCATTTCTTGGTAGCTTGTTCTGGATCACATTTCTGATGAAAGGGTCTTGACATGCGAGGAATAGAAGCTGCTTCCCAGGCACTGGAGTCTCTCCTCTCAGTGACCTACAGTGTTGGACCACTCTTAAACTGCAAAACACCTAGACAAGTGCACAAGGAGCTAATTTTGGACTGCAGCACATTCTTGGGTTCAGAAAAAAAGCTTAGAACAGCCAAASAAGCTTAAGGCATAGTCATCATTTTGTTTCTTGTTACTGGTTGCATAAGAGAATTAATGAAAAGGAGCATTCAAGCAGTGCCCAATACAAAGTAAGATGAAACTCAACAAAATTTAAACTGAAAATCCAAGATCATTGACTCTGTGCTCTTTKGATACCTTAACTGCAACTTAACTGTAATCTCTCCAATGAGGAGATACCTTCTGGGGGATGAGAATGAATACTATGAGTTGGGGAATAACATCAACTATTACAAGTAATACCAAAGGAATTGCTTCCCTGCACCTTGTTTAAAGAAGAAAATGAATCAAAAATCTAGTAKTGATTTAAGTGTAGATTACTATACTAACCACACAGCTATGCTATCTAGGAAGAAYTCTTATTCTCCTCACTAACAGGAGACGTTGTAAGAATACTTTTCCATTAGAGACTATTTTGACATTGTTTTTTAGCCACTCTTTCTGACATCTCTTGAAACAAACTGAAAATATTTTGAAGGCTTCATACCTTACACCATAGATCTACACTGAAACTGTTCAATTCTGTCTCATGGAGTCCAGCAGAAATGGCTTTCATTTTGGTATGTATGTCATAGGCCAAATGAAAAACAAAAATGATACGAACCTGTATTTAGACTCCAATTTAAAATTTAGTAGGTCTAAAATAAAAATTAAGAAGTCTAAATCCTAACCACTTTTTTGTTTTTAAACCTGTCAGACAGAACATGGTCAAGTTTAGCTACAGAGAATGTCTGATTAAATAYAGGGCTAGTTTTCCATTTCCTCAGCCTGTAAGTATAACAGCTGAAAATGGATGATACTGTTCTGCAGATTTGGTCTTAAAATATCATTAGCACTAGAGTAATTAAAACAGTCCTTCTACATAGGCCAATCAAGCCTTTAGGTGACTTTAGCATCAGACAGTCGGGACTGGTTCCAGCACTGAAATCCTTAGGTGAATGTACATACATTCAATACCGAATACTAAGCACGACATGGCCTAATGATACACTAAACAGGTGAGCCAGAGAAGCTGTCTGATTCGCTCTCTCCCAAAGATATTCAACTAAATTTAAAGTTGGAGCTAACTTTGTAGTCAGTCCTGCTTTGAGCAGGATGCGGGAATAGATGTCCTCCAGAGGTCACTTCCAACTTAAGTTACTCTGGCATCCTAGTACTTTCATTTGTTTGATTTAAAGAAAATGAAACATAGTTTCTGGGAAGAATAATACTTATGGTATAAATAAAGATTAAAAGCCATATTCAAATTTCCATTCTGCTAGGTAGGATGTGTGCAAAAAGTCCCTAACTACCACAGTTTAGATGTTAGATGAGAGAGTGGACACTCTCTCTTCTGCTATGCATGGAAGACTGAAGGACAGAGCTAATGTTGAAAGAAGCAGGACAATTATTACATTCTAGCTTTTAATACCTCTCTGTGGGAAATACATGGTTACCTGTAACTGATGAAGACATGATATGGGGAAGACAAGACACGTGACCTACCAGAACACGACAAGCTTTCTCACTCTCAGCTAAAAATGGATTCAGGAGAATGCATCTATGTGGTTTCAGATATGAGAAACTGCTTATTAATCTCTAACTTACTCATATTTCTGTTCAATATTAATAAATGAAATAACCCTTAATAAAATAACAATTTATTCTCTTTAACATACAATATCCCAATAGTGAACCCTTCATTTACTTTGAATGAAGGTCTATGCTATGCTTTATTTTTCAGCATCTGCTATGTTAAATACTTTTTTAAAAATCCTRTATTTAGCACCACGGTGCTATACAGTACCATATATAACAGCACAAATTGTTATGCTTTTGATCGTAGGAAGAAGTTCTATTTTACAAAARAAGATCAATATTTGTCTATAAATTCAAAAGTAAAAGATACTTAATGTGGCTTACACTACTCTCCACTACTATTTCACTCAAATAACAAGCACTTCATTTAAAAAGATTGATAWATATTATCAATCTTTTATAATGCAACTGAGTAAAAAGAAGGTAAGTGTTGATCTAGTGGCATCCTTGTAGGCAAATTTATTATGCAAAATCCCAAACTGCTACTTCTCCTACCTGCTTTTATCCATACTTTTTAACACTTAAACTGGCTGCTTTTGGGTAAGATGAGATTCTGAACTAGCTATTCTGAACACATTCCATATAATCTTTCCATGTAATCCAGATTTTTTTCTGAATGGCCAGCAATTCATTCGTTTCATGAAACCCCATGAAGAAATTTTCTTTACCATATGTACTACCAAACTGCTTCCTTTCAGCAAGAAATGTTCACGACATTTTATAGACTATAAACTAAATAGACTAAACTAAAACTTTGACAATCTGCCCATTACAAGTGCCCATACACGAAGGGAATACAGAGATGTAAACAATATGAAATATGTATTATTTTTGTTTATATTGTACTAGTGCAGAAAACTTATATTTACTGTATTTTACTGCAAATAAAGTACTAAAGACCATGCCTGCAAGCCAGATATAATACAAAGATGCTACACAAAGAATAGCATCAAAAAAGATGCAAAATGTTTTCTTTCTTGGGAAACACAGGAAACAGTGAAAGGATTAGCATAGGCATCACTAACAAACTAAAAAAAAAAAAAAAAGTACTATTTTGAATAAAAGTATAAGCTAAAACTGCATTATTTTTCCCAAAGCACATTCGAGTCCTAATACATTATTCCATTTACAGTATCATTCACAGGTGTTCAGTCTACTACCCTTAACAGTGTATTCTTTGTGAACTACCATAAATGTCCATCACATATTGAAAAGGGTCCTCAAACTTCTTTCACAAGGTGAAACAACCAATGTTCTCATCTGGCTTTCCACAATGCGGGATAAATAACATAATACATCATATGAAAGAGAGAGAGAGACTGAAAACTAACACCTAATGCCTTAAGAAAGTGTAAATGAAAGAAAGAAAAAAAACAACTTCACAAAAAGGTGTATTGGGGAATGATCATGTAAAACAGAGCAAGAAACCATTTCAGGCTATCACATGTGCCCAAGGGATTATCAACAATATTCAGACAATTTTTAAACACATTTTAATCTTTCCTTAAAAAACCACAGGTGGCAGAGACAGCTCAACTTTCCTAGCAATCTTATCTAACATAATTATTCTTATTGTTAGAAAATCCAAAATCGACTTGCTACAAAAGATGACTTCCTGCAGTCTTCTGCAGTTTCCTGCAGTCTTCTCACCACCCTTCGGTATTCTTTGGAATCTCACTACATGAGTCTTGAACAGTGGTGCCTATATGTGAACAGAATACACTCCCTGATTTTTTTCCATAGCAGAGAAGGGTTATTTTTTTTGTTATCTTTGCATATCTCAGTTACAATCAGTTTGATTCAATGATCGCTTTGTGATRTGTTCTCCATAATTTCTTTGGAAGACGATTACCTCCTAAGTAGTATCATGATCACTCACTAATTACATGATTTGTCTTCTCCTTTTCTGTAATTTGTATTTTTTTTTCTGGAAGCTTTCCTAAAATCTCATTTTTCATACTAGCATTTTAGTCCCTTGCATGATACTGATTCCACCTCCAAACGTAAACAAGCTCTTTATTCCAGCAGCTATCACAGTAGAACTATTAATTCATTAAGAATATAACACTGAATTTAGGAAAGTTATGAGTGGAACCCAGTGAGTGGAATATCATTCCAATCTGACAGTGAAACCATGGTAACTAGCCTACTTTTCTAATAAGTTCTACACATTTTTTTTATTGCAGTTCRATTAATGTATTTATATGTTTCCCTAGCGTACTTCGCAGAATCTCACATGAAAAATATTTCTGAACCCTTACAAGATTCAAAATATCTTCTACTTTTCATTTTTCTCCCATTCATCATGCCTCTACTATGTTAGCTAATAACTGGCCATAAGTCACACTGCATATTGTTTTCTACAAGTTTTGTTACTGTTTTGCTTTTTTTAAATTCAGCATTACATGCAGGCACTGTTTTTTCTGTTAGTAAAATGTCTGAATGTAGCTTCTTAGTGTACTTTAGATTTCTGCACAAATGATAACTAAACTCAGTCTTTTTTTCTATAATGGATTCATGTATTCTTCAACACTGATTTACTGGGTGAATAGCTATTTCTAGTGCACGTTTCTTTACTTTAAAGGTGTCTTTGTGGGCCTTGTCAATACAGAAAAGCAAGCAATTATGATACAGTTYAGACAAAAATCTTATTCTGTTATCATCCCTCCCCCTTTTTAAAATAAAACGACGTGTTAAGACATCAGATTGATTTTATTTAATATAATATCCAAACATGAAATGCCCTAGTAAGATATGACTTATAGGTAAGTAAACACAAATTTGTATATTTCTCCTATTATTTATTACAGTATATAGTTTCTTGTTTTAAGGTTAAAAAATAATTTCAAATGGAAACGTGCCTTGATAGATGACAAAACCCATAATATCTCAAGAAATTCAAATATTATAATTCATAAAGTTACAAGTGCGATTGTACTCGAGCCGAATTTTTCCAAGCAAGTTCAGGATGAAACGATGAAGATGTCATTATACTGTAACTGTAGATTTTAACATCTGGATCAGTACCATTTGCAGATCAAAACACTATCTTTGCATCTACCAGGATATACATGGACGAAGACGAAGATCTCAGCTGTGATGCTGTATTGATCACTTCTTCATTCCTTTCCCAAGTTATGTAACAATTTCRTATTTAGATTATGAGGCAATAAGGTTGTCCTGAACAGTGCCAGAGAAGTAAGCCAAATCAAACAATGTCTGCATATACTCAGATTTTTCTTAATAGTGATCCAGAAAACAATATAAAGTTCTATTCACTCCAGTGTCCAAGTTAGAAATGATTAATTCATTCTACTAAGCACAAAATCAATTCTTCCGTGGCAAATCTATTACTTCAGAATAGAAAGTCCCAGGTGTTTTAGAAGTCTCTTATTATCAGTGCACCAAATATTTTGGTAGGAAACAATCCTTTTTACATTAACTTCTATGTACAACATGGTGTTTTATATAGAAATGTTCTTATTAAACTGCATATAAGTAGAGCAGCAGGCTGACGGCGAACCGTTGCTTATTTCATTCAGTATCACCACACGCACAATATTTAAGTCCCACAGGCTTCCGCCACTCTTCAGTGAATCCAGGCATTGCATAACATCACTTGCCAAGGAAGCGCAGGGGAAAGAGACATTAACTTAATAGGACAATTCTGACAAGACATTTATCCGGGATTTTTCAGCAAAGCACACATGATATGTTCCTGATTAGTGCAAAAAAAAAGGCAGGCAAATTAACTACCTTGTCAGTCCAAATAACAAACCAATCAATTACATTCTATCCAAGCCTGACAAGCGAATTCAACTTTTTGTCATAATAAGCTTATGGTAGAGAGAGAGGATAGCTGTTCTCCTTTACTYTGGGTACTCTATTGAGAGCTTTATCCAGATATATTAAAATCATATTTATAAAAGAGGTTTCCAGGATTGCCTCCGAGGATGAGTTGTGGTAGAGTTGTGTCTCATGAAGGGTATCTACACAGTAAAGTGATAAGAAAAAAATATTAACATTGAAAGATCATAGCAGCTCTGCTCTGTCTTATGAAACATTTTAACACCATACTAGGTTTAAGCAACTTGTATGGTCAGATACAACTAGTACAAGACATACTGAACTTTAAGAGTCTCAAAACACCCTTGAAGGTGCCAAAACATAAAACTTGAGCTGTTTATACTGTGTTAAGTATAGCAATTTTTTGCTCAATACAGCTCAAACAAGAAAGGCAGTCCATCTCAAGAGAGAGAAAATACAACTTCTTTTTTTTTTTTAATCATAATAGCAATAATTTAACACAAGTAGGCTTGATCATACAAGCTAGTTCCACTCATTTYAAAACTCTAACAGAAGTAGCCATGGAACTGACCACATGATGAGCATAAAAGACATGGGTACCATGTTACAGCTTAAAAAGCTTTTACAGAATACAAGTAAAGAAAAGATTTAGGAAGTGATTTTTTCTTTTCTTTCCAAATTCCACTTGCCAGTTCACTACATAGAATGCTTTAGTCATTTCTAAAACAATGTCATTATTCACATCTTCACAGCACTTGCCAAGAGATGCTTACATGTTCTTCCTTTGCTCCTTGTATTCCTTGCCTTTTGACATCCTCATAATGCTAAACTATTTCTTAAGAGTGATTTTTTTTGAAATAAATAGAATTTTCAAGTGTTTTGCTCTCCACATTTAATCTCTTTAAAATTGCCTCCAACATAGGACATGAATGGAGTAATTTTTTTTAAACGCAAAAAAGATTGTTTTGTGAGATTTTCAGTGGAAAAGAAGCTAGCGTTGCCTTTGAGCTGTCAAATATAATTGCCTTTCAAAGACAGACCTATGCTGCACTTTTTTATTTTTTTCTACTTTTGAGGTTTATTAAAGTAGAATTTTAAAGAGGAACTCTCATGTGATGTCATACTTTCATAAAATAAAAAGTTACAATTTGAAGTCCTGCAGCACTGCCACATACTCTTAACTGTTCTTGCTATATTACATTTAATTTAGAGTGTAAGGATACACCATGGGCAATGACGAAAGCGTTGTATATAAATTTATTCCAGTTCTCCTTTCACTTCTGTTTTGGAAGAGGGTGTTTTTAATGTTTTTGGAACATGATTAATTTTTTTAAAAACAGGTGTCTTAAACTGCACCATCTGAATGAGGTCACCAGAATGCAATGGGCTACCACCTATCTGGCTAGCACATAGGATAGTTCAGCTACTACAATAAGAAGTTAATTTAACAACAAGCTCACAAATCAAAATGCACTGAAAGCCAAAAAAAGTTCACAGATAGTTCCAGCTATAGAGTAAAACTATTTTTATTTTTTTTAGTATTTAGTATGTTTTAGGTCAGAATGCCAAAACAGAGGCAGAGAATAGGAAACATAAATAGTTTATGCCTATACCTATGATATTTATAATATTTGTTTAGATTACCAGATATTTTAAGGGAAATTATAATATTTTTAAAGGAAATTTATTTTGGATTGATTAAAAATATATTTATTAAAATACTTTTGTATTATTTTTAAAATTTGACTTGACACCCTTGATTTTTTATCTTCACCTTTCTCAATTCCAATGTATAATCTAGTAAAAAAAAAAAAGGGACAAGGAAAACACTACCAACTTTTATGTATAGTTTAAGCAACAACAGACTGCTGAAAACAGAGGACAAAGGAATATGCATGGATAAATACAGCAGCAGTTTTCTGTAGCTTGTAAGTCACAAACAGAACTGGTAGCTGATTACTGATTTGGGGAAAGCATAAACTAGCACCTGTTCTGAGACTTTTACTCAGTAGCTTACTTTCTCAGCTTTTGAATTCTTCCATCTATAAGTTTTACTYCCAAACCCTCTTCGACCCAAGAACTGGTCCCATTACAAAGCATATTTAGAAATTTTCCTGCATTTACTAAATTACAATCAAATACACTATAAAGGTTTTACATTAAACTGAGACACCTATATTTCCATTCTAATTTCAGAATTTTTTTTTGTTTGGATTGCAGTACCCAGAGCTTCCTTGAACCCCTAAATTTAGGTCTTCCTTGAACACCTAAAATTGCATTTCCACTGTTGGCTATTTACTCAGTGCAAAAATCTAAAATAAACAGAGGGCAAAATGTGAAAACTTTCTTATCTTTCCCAGCCGTATAGAAAACAACCATGGCTAGGGGAGAGGAGAAAAAAAAAAAAGAAGGCATCATAAATAGAGCTTTCAACAAGGAGGTTTTCATGCGCATTATTTTCTCCCCTCTACAGGAACTGTAAAACAATTCAACCTCCCTCACTCTCCTCTAATCATACATGATCACATTTACTCCCTCTGCCTCAGTTTCATAAATAACATGTAACAGGGGTCCTTGTACAAATTTCCTTTTGAAGGGAATTTATAGCAGAAGAAAATCAGAAATTATTTGGTATTTTGGAATTGCCAAAGATCCATATTCCAGATTTCCATATGTGTAACAGCCATTGAAAATTCACCGTAAGTAAATATGATGTTTTTGTTAGTATGCTTAATCCTTATTCTTTTTTAACCATTTTGTACTTCTTTTCATCACTGTAACTATCTCCTAGGAAGAGAACAGTGGTTTTGTTTGCTAACTGGACACCAGGAAACTACATTTGCATACTGTACTTTCAATTTATCCTCAAAAGCGTGAAGGAATGTAAACTGTCTCTACATACCTTATAAATTCTAAAATATTTGCACTTGCACATCTTCTAACTTTGTAAAGGCTAGARGGGTATTTGAGCAGGTTGGCAGGGTAGAGAAGTTTCCTCTGATGAGATACGGTAGTAATCAAAGGCAGAGAAAACAGAGCTTTTCAACTACTGCAGAAATGCCGATAAAGACCAAGTATTTTTTCAGAGGGCACACAACAAACTAATTGAAGGGGATACAAGTAATACGCATTTTTTAGAATTCAAGCAACTTGTTATCAGGAATTAATGTGCACCTGCAACTTCAATAAGTGCATGAGCGTTACTGGTTTCATTTGTTAACACTGATCAAATTGGAATAAAACTCCACCCACAGAACAGCACAGAATCCAAGGTATAACCAGGATAGAAAAGCTTTGCTTCACGCCAATCGCAGCCATGGTGGAATATAAATACTGACCTTGGGAGGTGGCCAACAGCATCACTGTTGACTGGGGCAAGCAAAGCCACCCAATAGGTGGCTTGATTTACAGAAATACTGGACATATTTTGAAGTATGTCTATTTCAAAATAAGCAAGGCATATGTTTTTCAAGCAAGTTCAAAGCCAAGAACAAACTATATATATTCAATTCCAAAGGTTAAATAAAATCTGGGTATCAGTTATGCGAAATGACTTCCTTCAGTATTAGAAGAGTCATTTTCCTTCACTCTGCAATGCCTTTGTGAATACAAACTTCAGAGAACCCACAGGAGACATGAAAAAAAAAATCAGTCAATACACTCAGTGCTCTACATGAAACTCAGCTTTCTCTTTTAAGAGACCACATTTACAGACCTTGTCACAACAAGGTCCTTGATGCTATCGAAGCCATTTCAAGATACTTTAATCACTAGCAAAACTCAGTAACCTGACAAGACAAATTTGGGCCAGAAAGATTTCAGTAACTTGAAAGGAAGGTTATTGACTGATGTAATTTCATTTGGATGTGACTGAATCCAATTGATCTGTTTGGTTTTTTTTTCTGTTTTTTTGCAATGCATATCTTCCTTCTGCAGCTGTCTCTATCTGATTCAGTCTGCGAGTCCAAGGAGTGACTATCCGTTTCCCCTCAAAGCAAAAACTCCTCCATCCTCCTGTGCAAGCATTTTCATGTTTAATCTCTATACTCACTGTAAGAAAAAATATGTACTCAACTGAACACTTAGATTGGGCATTTATCCAAATCTGGCGATTGCTAACATATTATGTTCAAAAACAGATAGTAGAACATATCATTTCTTTGTATTTCATACCAAAATAGGCTTGTTAAGGCTTGTGCAATATGAGGTGATATAAGAGTACAAAGTTAATTCTCAAATCTTTAGCAGATCTACACTAACTGAGTAATTTAAATTGAAACAGGCTGTACATGGTTTCAGTTGAGTACTTAAGGACATCCAAAATAGTAAATTGTTTGGCATTTAAAGAGCATAATAATTTGTAAACACATACGTATGAAGTTAAATCTTCCAACACAAGTTTAGTTTACAATAGTTTTAATAGAAAAGAGGTCTACTGGTAGACATCTTTTTATTATAGAGGATAAACTTCAAGAGAAAGAGCATCATGGTCAAGATGAGGTGCAAGCAAAGCCTTCAGTCGAAATGAACCAGCCACCGCTTCCAGATCTAGTCTTTGTTAGCACTGTACTTTGGTGCAGTGCTAAAAGTAAGTAACGGTTATGCTTCATCAGAGGTAAGGTTAACTCAAATTGACTCTGATATGCACCTCAGAGTGGCTTACGTGCATAAATGCATTCTTTAACTTCTTCCAAAATTCAGTACAACTATTTCAATTCATTTCTTCTTAAGGTAAATTTAAAAGTTTACTTTTTTTTTTTTTTGTACTGCAAATAATTAAATATTCTGACACCTCATCTCAAAGACAAATCACTTTAATTTCAGACTAGACCAAACTACTCATCTCTAAGTAATTTAGAGGGATCCATGACTAAACTCCTCACCAATACACAAACTGCAGTTTTCTTCTTGTTTTCAAAAATGTAACAAATGACAAAATGGCTTTACTGCATTTTCCATGGTAATAACTAAAAATCTGGCTCATAATTCATCTCATGTATGCTGCAATATAGCATAAAACTTTTCCCCTCTCTGCAATACTATTGGTATCAAATAAGGATTTAACTGTCATTTCTTTCTTTCGGGAGGTGATACTTTTCAGATATTTGAATAACTTAATGATTACAGATATTATCTTAATTTTATGATAATGAATCATTATCTGAATCAGGATATGGCAATA